ATATATATAAAAAAACATACATATATGCCCATGTTGCAGTGGGGTCGTTACCACAAATAAAACAAATTCTCCTCCCATTGTTTCAACTGCGAACATCACAGAGAAGTCCGGAAGACAACCTATGTGCCAGGCACCTGAAGAGCTTAAGAAGCAGGGGAGAGTTGCATAGAGGTGGACTGAGGGAAAGGAAGAAATCCTTAAAAAAACAAACAAAAAACCCCGCATAGGTTAAATAAAGTTTGGAAAATGCTAAAACAGAGTCACTTTAAAATATTTATACTGAAAATTCAAATCAATCCAGCTTTCTATTTGAGTCATCCTGTTTTAATCATAGCACTTTATTTTTAAAGTGCCCTAATGATTTCAAATAATGTTATTTTGCTTTTTCCTCTTTTATAGTATTTTCAAATTAGAAATTCAAGTTCTGTCTTGTCTACGGCTATGCGGGAAGTTAAATTAAAACACAACAGATCTAAGGGCAGTTGAAAATTAGGCTATAGAGAAAAAGACAAGATATTTAGCTCTTCAGGCATATTAAGTATTTTTTTAACAAATGCTTAACTCCAGTGATTTACAAACATTTCAGAAAGAGATTCTGTTAAAGATTCAAACCATTCATCTCTTTCAAATAACGTGATAACAAATATGAAACCACTTCTGCAATCACAAAAAAGTAAAAAAAAAAACAAAGATGACAAGACTCGATATCCCTAATGTTTCTGAAGGGGAAGAAAATAGGGTTTATTTGTAGGATTTATTTTTTTTTTAATTCTAAATTTCTCCTTCATATATTAAAGAAATGCACACTTTAGTAAACTTTTTCAAGATTACCTTTGCAGGTGTACACTGTTTGAAAGGTTTTTTTAATATATAAACATAGATCAAAAGAAAACTAAAAACCCAAACAAAAATACTAAGTGTGGTTTTATATGCTGAGGGACCAGATATTCAAATTGAGGAAATACAGTAATGTAAGACAATAATCACCATTTCAGACATGTTATCTAGTGTTCGGCCTTTCATTTCATCCAATTCACTCTTTACTGCAGATACTCTTTCCAGCTCCTCCTGGGTGTAACTATATCCAGAAATACCTTTTTTGTCTTCAATAGCTTGCTGCAGACACAAAAAATAAATGCTGAATGTGAGTCCATTAATCAAGTTACACAGAAAATTCCTTCACTGAGCCAAAATCTTGTAAGAAAGCGGAAAAGGTACGTGCTGTAATCAATTTATTTTAAAAGTGATTAATATCCTAGCTGCCAGAACAACTAACTTTTTATCTAGTGCCTGTACAGTAGGATAATAACAACTTTCTGCAAATACACTATTTGCTCATCCAGTGCCCAAAGGAATTAACAGAAAGTTTCCAAAAAGCAAAGTGAGCTTTAGGACAGCCTCTGAAGAAGTTCAATGTATAAAATCCAGATGCTTAATCCGAAGATGTAGCTAATTATTTTTTAAGCAGTTGCAAGCAAAACTAAGTAAGTATTGTATTCATTATAGTAATACTAATCCCATCTTACCAAATTCCAGTCTTACATTACATAAACTTTACATTTACTTACATGTTGATATAATGGTCTTTAGCAATGCTTCCTCATATAAGTATGTAAGGAGGGTATTTTCTGAAATCTGAAAGCTAAGTGTTGATTTACGCAGCCACAATTTGTTAAAAAGCAAAGTGTTCATTCTATAAAGTGCCACGTATCCATGAACTCCAAGTCCGTTATCCTCATTAAACAATGAACGCCCTATTGAAATAGTATGACATCATCCACTGCATCTATGTGAGTATCTTTCCAAAGTCTATCCCATGTATTTTCACACTTTCAATTTTCTTTTAATAAGGCAAATACTTTTATGTTTAAAAATGCAAAATATGTACATATAACAAACAGATACAAGAGAAATAAACCCAAAATATTCTGATAACAAAAATACTGGTATTAGAAGAAAATACTACAGCAGTAGATTTTTGTGAACTAAAAAGGGAATCTCTCTGCATTTGGGATGTGTGTATGTTCCCTGACTGCTTACGGTTATGTATAGCAGAAATCTTTCTCCTGCTGTTCTCACTTAGAACAAGCATTCATCCAGTTCTCAATTTTTCACTGTTAAATGCATTTTCTTCTAAATATTCTGGGGTTAGAATTTTCCTTCCTTCCTGCCTGCTCCTTTTTTAAAATACTATTCCTATATCTTTTGCAGCAGTAACTTGAATCCTACTTGCTGTTGAAAATTTTCAAAGCACTTACTATGTATGTGGATACCAAAAACTAATTTAAGAATCCAGCCTTGCTCTAACTGGAGTTAGTGAAGACTTACCATTGACTTTAAAAAGCAGGGTCAAGACCCTCAGTCTAAAAAGAAATTGCGGAACAGTCATGAAGGCCTGTAAGAAACAGGCGCTGAACATGAAGTACAGCAGCTTAGCATAGCCAACAGACAAAAATAAATTTTGTACCCTAAGGACAGCAGGAGAGCTGAAGATGACATACATTAGACTCTAACAAACCAACATCAATCATATTATACAGCTGTTGTCAGGGAAGGACGCGTGATGGACTGTGGAAGCAGTAAATGCGTGTATTACCAACTGCTGCTGAATAGCCTCGTGGCGCTGTTTTAGAAGTTCTTCCGTCCTCTGGAGGATACCATACTCAGCTGTAATTTCTGCTATTTCCAGTCGCTTCTTTTTATAAAACGTGTTCTTGCTCCGGAGCTTATTAACATAGTGTTTAAACTGGAAAGAGAGAGGATAGAAATATCATTTAACTTAAAGGAAAAAAAAGGGCTTTATCACAGGCTGTTGCTACATAAAATGTCATTATCCTATTTGGACTGCATATTGAAGATTAAGTGTTTAGAACAGAGGACTGGAATTCAGGATTCCCAGGGTCTATTTATTTTCAGCTCTGCATTTGTTCACTGAGATCAAGAAAACCAACTCTCTTGCTTTCTGTCCCAGCTCACTCATTTGTGGTACTGAGATCATTCAGTTGTTCTCACCACCATTTGACAGTTGAAAAACTAATTACTCTTTGTAAAATGTTGTGAGAATCATGGATAATAAAAAAGTTACTGTAACAGTAATTTGCACTCGTAACAGAGCACCAGATCAGCAGCATGTCGCCCCAAAGAGCTCTGCAGACCAAGAAACATGATAAGAAAGTGCAGAAAATATGGAAGAGAAGAGGGCATGGGAAAAGACAATCTTTTTTCCAAATGCTATTCCTCAATAGTTAACGTTTGTTGTTCTCTTTCCTTGACTCTTGCAGACCTAAATGATATCACTGGCCAAGTTTTTAAAAACAGGAAAATTAAAGCAGAGTCCTTGCATAGAAGCAGAGAAATGCAATATATATTTCACTCAAAATCTGAAGTAATGGAGAATTTATATTTTCATTAAAGACTAAGCAAAATAATACATACCCTTACAGATCAACAGCCTTAGCTAATTTGCATCTGAATCCGTGTGTGCTCCATTTGTAACACACATGAAATATCCGGTGTTGAAGCAAACGTAATATTTTTCTTTGCCTTAATGTTTTCCATCTGTCAAACAGGCTTAGCTCTTATTCTTACATTTTACCTGAGAGCTGTGAGGCAAATGCCAGTCACGGCTCAAAAATGGATTCAGATCCAGAGATGGAAAGCAAATAAAATTTATTAGAGTAAATGACGTAAGATGTAAGATGTAAGAACAGGCTTCAGAATGTTCTTTGATGAGGAGGGGTTCAGCGTGTGCATGGTGAGCATAAAACTGGCAGCCCCAAGGAGAAAACAGGAGTCCCTCTACCACCGATACAAGTTTAAAACTCAAACAGAAAAGAACTCCGATTTTGAAGTTTACATTAATTTTTCTTTTTGCAAACTTACGCCTCTCCCTTCTCAAGACTAAATCGAAAAAACCAATGTGACCACAGCCTAAGAACCCCCAGAGTAACTGTATGTTCTATAAAAAGTGTCCTGGGCAAAACGCCCAAAATGAAATCAACCCTGTTCATCTGCCATCCTGTGCAATAACTAGGCCAAAGCTGCTTCTCTCTTGCTATGCTCCAGAACTATTTTTAAAGCCAAAAGCTATAAACGTTTTTGGTGAAAGAACAAACCCACAAATTACTCAATGTGCTCTATGCAGATTGGACTATGTGTGGCTTTGGAATACCATTTTACATTGTGCGTACTACCTAGGACAAGGATAGACAAGGTCACCTAAGCCACAGCACTGCATGGCGGAGGCAGTTCTGTTACAGTCGCACTGTCTTTGTTATATTATTGGCACACGTATTTAGTATTACCAGAATTAATTATTTTTCATAGCAAATTCAGGTATATCCTCTTAGTTAATATCAAAGACTTTTTTAATTGCTTAGACAATACCAAGTTTTCTGTGATTTTCAAGAGATTATAAAAATATAAATACAATCTCTCCAACTAACTGAGGAAAATTTAAGGGGAGCACAGTCATCTGTCTTGATCGAGTAGTTCCAGAGATATTTCATTTGACCAGTGGAATGTAGTCAAGAATGATGTAAAGGATTAAACTTACTTAATACGTGACCACACACAGCTATCAAATCTGAATGATTTTCTGTCAGTTTAGCCCAGGATGAAAAGCAAACTATTCTTCTCTTCACTTCTATAGCTACTTTTAAGGTCTTGAAAATAGCTCGAGTGGGAGGTAGAGTATTTGCATATTCAATATTCAAAGCATAATATATTTTACAATGGAAGTCAAAAGACCTTGTTGATTAAAGAACTGATTCCACCGATGTTCTATTATTAGTTGATTAAGTTAGGGCTATATAATAAAAATTTCATCCAAAATGAACTACAAGTTTCTCACATTGACAAGTGAAACCTCTTCATTTTAGGACATAGACGTCTATCTTTCATCGCAATCTCTGGCTTTTTAAAAGCAAACTTAACCTTTCACATAGCTTTTATTGCAGCAAACAAGGTAAAACAAGATATAAACAATGGTAGCAAAATGATAATATCCGTAGAAAATCAATCAATAGTTTGGCAGAATTTTCAAAAGACTTCATCTACTCCAAATGCAGCCCAGATTAACCTCTCAAAATCTCACTAACTGAAGGCTTCCTTAGATCCAGGGCCAAATTCAGAGCTGGAGTTATTAAATGTAACTCTACTTAAATCAGCAGCTTGCAGGGATCTTATCGCAAAATTAGATTTCTTCAGCCTAAAAACTGAGAATCATTCCACAGGTTTCCAAAACTTGTAAATAAGCTTCTTGTAAAATACCAGTGCTTTCTTTGTGTAAGCATTAGTTCTGAAGCTTTATACATCTCATGCGCCCATCTATATGTAAATGAAAAATCAAGCCCTTAAAATGCTATAAAACATTGTATTTTTTATTGCGGTAAAAGGTCTTTTAAATAATTTGAATAGTTCACAAAAGAGTAACATTGTCTAGCCGTATCACTTTAAAGTTAACCAACCAAAAGGGATCCATTTTTGAGCAGCAGCATTTTCCCAGAGACCAGGTCAACTGCTCCCCGCGTAGAAACTCAGCAGGCTCAACCTACAGAATTCCCATGGATCCGCCAGTGCCTGCAGTGATGTACCATTCAAGGCTATGTCCACTAGTAAGCTTGTCTTTCTCAAGGAACTTAACACAAATAGCTATTTAAGCTTCAAAGATTAAATGACTGGACAAGAACCAAATGCTGGCACTGAGTTCGCAGTTAAAGTAAACAAGCCTGGAGACCCATGTTTGCTGGCCGACTCAGAGCCCCCTGAGATATAAAAACTATCCAAATGAAAGCAAAGAAAGATGATGCTTTTTCATTTGGCTATTTTTATGGGTGACTGTAACGTAACAAGCGTGGAATCTAGATTATGAAATAGAGTGAATGAAAACAGCACTTCCATCGCTCCTATGATGTCCTGCAGCATGCAGGTATCTAGCACCCCTGGCCAGATTTCCTGTATTATCTTCCACTCTTATTGAAAGAAACCAGCAACGCCAGGACTTTATGCTTCTCCACTTACCACAATCTGCAAGTGATTGCTATCACCTGGTTAAGTCTTGCAACACTTTTGTGAAGTAATTATTACAACAATGCTAAATACAACAAAATTGAATCACGGCTATTAAGATGACTTCTCCAGGACCATATAGAGCCCGGCAGGTTACCTCCCTCCAGGAAAGAACATAATCATGTTCACCACATGCTTCAGTGCACCGCTGAACTGGGATCAAAGCCCAGCTCCACTAATGCTTAGTCCTCTGCTTCCACTATAAGCCCATTGTTTTTCTCCTTCAAACTAACATTTGCCCCATGTGAAGTTTTCACAAGGTTTTTATCCCAAGATTATCATTAAAGGAGAAAATGGGTAAGCTTGTTTTCAGAAAAGAACAAATCCCAGATTAATCCTGCACTTTCGAGGCAAATGTTTAAAAACAGTATTTTCTGGATTACTGCATCAATTTGATTGTGTTATAGTAATCAAAATAGTCTTCACACAAAAGTACTACAGAAAATAAAGTATTAATTGTAAAAAAAATTTATTTCTGAAATGCATAATGTAAGCAAGGTTCCAAATAAACAGTTTTGTTAATAAAATTATTTGCACAAGCACAATAATGGCAGGAAATCTTCGCTGACTTTTTTTACTAAGAATTGAGGAACAGATGTTTTCATTTTCTAACTAGACCAATTAACGGGACACAGACTGTCCAAAGTATTAAAATTCAGTTAGGAAAAGTTCCTGATCATGACAGATTTTCAGGTTTTTTTCCAAAGAGGCTCTAAGTTTAAGCTAGTACAGCCACTGTTAGAGTTAATAACTCATACATAGAAAGACAAACTTCTAAAAGATACAAGCAGTATTACTTCAATCTGTTAAAATGAAAGTATCCTACAACCTGCTCATTAGACAGATCAATCAGGAAAATTCTTCATTAGCATTAAGTAGGATATATCTTTTAGGAGTGCTTGTTTCTGGTCAGGAGAGAAGTATTAAAGTAGGCATTACTAACAATTTGGATCAATCAGGATGTTTTTAATGAAAAACCATTTTCAGATATCACTGACAACGCACAGATCAATAAAATTGATTATTTATTCATGCCAGTGGGCGCTGAAAAAGCATTCCGTTCCGTTCAGATTTGTCTGAATCACTGCATACATTTGGCTTAAATGCTGGTTAACTTCTTACAGCAAAAAGCTTCTGGCTTCTGTAAGAATCCTACAGATTTGCCACTTCTGTTCTCACAACTTGACTACCAGCTACTCTCCTATTTTCATGTGTAAGGAGCCTTTGACAGACAGGAATATAACTGTACCTAGAACCTTAGCTAAAAGTTGAGAGAAAGACAGCAGACTGATAGGAAAATATATCCTGGGTTCTGGCTTAATCCAGCTCCTTTACAGCTACTCTCTTAAAAATCCATCCACCCAGTTTCAACCAAGATAACTGTTGCTGGTGGATTCAGACGGACCCGACAGTTTTGGAGGAGAAGCAACAACATCTGTGGTCCAAGACTGACTGTTTTCTCTGCAAACTGAAACATTTTGGTATTGTTTTACCAGGGGGCAGGTAGGCATGGATGAGCATGTCTATCAAAAAAAATTAAACTCCTTATGTAAATGAATATGCAAAACTCACATATCTATTAATAAACTGATAGGACTTTCTATGCCACATTCTCAAAAACATATTCATTTCAACTACTGCAGCCAAGCACAGCTATGATACTATTCTATTCTGATACCTGGGGAAAGTCTAGGTTCTTGGGGCCCTAATGCTGAACTCTGAAAAGTACAATGCGTTGTGTAAAGAGATAAAAATATCACAGCTTTACCTAGGATCACTTGTAATTGAACCATCTAGCCTTCTAAGTGTCAACATTTGATTCCCTAATTTTCAGGATCTGACAGCTGCAGCTAGGAGCCTGCCAACTTTGCTCCATGCTCATTGTACTTTGTTTGAAGTACTGAAAAAGATTTCATAATCCCCAAAGCAGACAATTTATTCCTACCTTTTTGTGTTTGATGTAAATGAATTGGTTATCCCCTGCTGTTTCTTCTAAGTTCTATCTAGCTACGCAACCTCTCAAACCAACTGGAATGCTGTAAGATTCCTTTTTATGATTAGAGAAGAAAGCAGAACGCTAGCACCTAAAAACATAAGCCAGGATTGACCTTTTGGTGAATGCAGTGCTAAGAAGACCTCAACTGGAGATCCAAATACTGGTATGGGAGCACAAGCTAGGAAGGCACCAATTCTTTGATTGCCAAGTCTTCTGAGTGCCATGATAGAAGAGGACACAGTGAAGCGAGACAAAGAGAAGATGAGAAATACTGGGTATTGGAGAAAGAGAATTCTTTAACTGTAGCATTTAGATTAAATCCCATTTTAAATTTAAGACAGCAAACCTATTTGTTAAAAACCCCCCTTCCTTCCTTTTTGAAAATGGAGGAACTAAACGTAAAATATGTTCAATTGCAACAAGAAAGTGTAAGGAAGCTCTTGATTGTCAGAGAGTGCAAAGTGAAGGTTGAAAGTACTACTTCTTTCTGTCCCCATTGAACATACGTATTACAACAGTGACTCACCACTACATTAATCAAGATTTCCTTTGGTATTGGCTCAAAGCTGGAGTAACTGAGCACTGAACCAGAAAATACAAATTTAAAAGCATAAGATACCAGAAACAAATCTATAGCAAAAGGTTGTCTGGTGAGTGATGAACCGAGACTTTTACTGATGAGACATAACCTGCTCACATCCCTTTTGCTTCATCACCTCTTCTCTGACAACTTATTGGTCTCATCTATCAGTCCTGTCTTCTCACAACCTGGACTCCGAAGCAAGACTGTTCCATAATATGCGTTTGCAACATACTTTAAGGAGATACGAAAACTATAGTACCACGGTCCTATGCAGTATTTTTGGCAGCAGACATTTACAAAAAAATTAAGTATCACGATCTCCATTATCCAGATGAGGAAACTGCAACCTTTGAAAAAGAAGCTATCAACATCATCAAGAATTCAAACGCTTTCCTAGTTTTTAGCCATAAGAAACACTCTTTTTACTGCTTTACACTGGTGCCCGTGAGTACCACTACAGTATACCTAATGAAGTAATAAACAAGAACAGGACACAGCTTGTATAACAGCGGCTTCCTTGGGCCAATGTGCAGAAAGTATTTTACAAAACAGGAAATGCTTCTTATGAAAAGACAAACACTTCTTACTTTAAGCTGATGGTTTTGTCCAAAGTGCTCAGTCATTTATTCTTCACTCCTCAAAATGAAAACTTGAAAAGATTTTAAAAGTCAAAAGCAGAACATGTTTGAACAAAAGGAATGCAGGTTAGGTTCTAAACAGGTCTTGTCTTTTTCTTGAGCCTCTTCCTTGTGTCAGACAACTAACTTGAATTTTTCATTACCAAGCCTCTAAGATACAGAGGTTACAGAGTTACAGAGGTTCTGTAACTGTGTTTCCCTCCTACCCTGCTCTCCTTGAATTTCTATGGATAAGAGAATGTTGTCCCTCTCAAGAATAAGCAGGAATTATTTCTTACCTTACAGCGCATTTACAGGTAATATAAAACATATGTTGCTGTCTTGGTAATGCATTCTTGTTGATTAAACACTTCTTTCCCATCACACATCATGAAACACAGATTGTCTACTTTCTGTTTTTATTTTTACTTAAAAAGTTGTCAAAGACTCTCACAACATGCACACTAGAGTTCAAAACCTTGTAATGGAGAGAAATCTAAAGCAGTGATCTTATTACGGCTACCTACGGAACACCTATGGAATGTGCATAGTATGTCACAGTAAGAAAACTCAAAGTCTTAGTTCTTAAAAGTCTCTGTGCCATTGCTTCCACCTGCAGTTTTCATCTTGATTTACAGAAGAGAAAGGCAAGAAGGCACAAGTGAAATATGCATGGATTCCATATTATACAGGCAGCCTTTATGCATGAGTGTACACGTTTCCATACTTGATTTACTCTTTAAGACTCCTTACAAGAAAACTGATCTTTGTGGAGTAGGCATGTCCTATGGGATCAGGAAGGGAGTTCCTTCTACAAAGGGCGTTCCCTTGTATTGAGTAGTATGTAAAAAAAGCACAGAAACAGACAAAGAAAAGGAAAGCAAAGAGCGTTACTCTTGATAAATGATGGCAGCGCAAATTAACACAATATGGAGGGAATTAAAAGATACATTAAATCAGAGAATGATGCAGCTAAAATGCTCTTTGCTTTAGAGATTCTGCCTGCAAGTACTCTCAGCAGGCTTCTTCCAAGCTGAGAAAAATTATTGTCTTAAGAAAAGTTAATTCATTTTCCTGACAAACCACTACCCAGCTGCAGCAGCCTCATTCTCTGCAAACTTTTGAAGAAGAGCGAGCTGCTTTGATAAGTACAGCTTCAAATATAACTTTGCCAGAACTACACTGATTGTGCTAGTCAAACTCTGTATTGCAGAGGAACTTCAGGAGGTTCTGGGAAAATTTTTTAAGTAAAAACCTTTGTGAGTAATAAATACAACAGGACTAAGTGCATTGCTGATAATTGCTGGTATTATGCTTTATGATCATATATTGTATAGAGAACAGATAGTAACACAGATTTTTAATATACATAAAAGAATAAAATTAATCTATGTGACTTATCACTTGAACTCCTAATCCCTTAATTGTTATTTTTAGTTAGTTTTTTAACTTTTATAGCTAGTTATTTACCATCATACCTTTGTGATGATATTGATATTATTTTGACTCAGAATCTGGAATGTTAATTCAGACCAACATCAAATCGTCATATACCTTCCACTCTATTAGGTACAATGTGAATAATTGAAATTAATAATTTTGCAGTATAAATATTAGAAAGCATTTGAAAGCATTGGACAGCATTGTACTATCTGCACAATAAAAAAAAAAGCCTTCAAAGATGTTACTTCTGGAATTCGATGACAAAATGTGCATAAAAAAAGCAGAGGACAGCCTGTTGCAATGCTGAGGCTATGTAGTTTGACAACATACTACAAAAATGGGTAAGATACTGTAGAAGCAGCTAGTGCAATGTAAAGTTAAAAGGAAATTGTGAGTTAACAAAAATTGATCCATCTCTTACAAATTTCCTCTTCCTTATACCCACTGGTCTATTGCATACCTCATCCCCTTTCAGAACTTCAGAGCCTTCTAACTCATGGGCCTGACTGGTCTTCTGTAGCATCTGCCTTTCAGTGCTGGACATCTCTTCCTTAGCAGCCTGAAGTTCTTCTGCCTTGGCTTCCTTTTTGCGGGAAATTATAGATGCCTGCATGATCATTAAAAATGCATACAGATAAGTAAAGTAAAAATTGCCTTGTTCAATCATTAGTAAAATGTCATGCATTAAATTTCAGGCATTGCACCACTGAAACCACATTCTAACTGTCAAAAACTGATTTTCGTTAGGAAATGTGGGCCTGTCTCTTTGCAAAGAAAAAAGCATCGATTATGCCTTATATACAGCGGGTTAAACCACAACTTCATTGAGTTGATTGCAGACTCCCAACTTTCCTCAGTACAGCCAAGATTTCAAGCATACCTTTTTTTCCCAGATTCATGTTAATGTATTTCACATTTTAGATTTACAGTTTTTCACCTCATTTTTTCACAGAAGAAAAAGGTAGGCATTTTAGCTGCTCCATTTCTTCTGCTTAATCCTTTTTTGTGCATATGTAGGATACACCAACATGGCTTAACTGGAAAGTTATCCAAGATTTCACAAATGTCATAATACAGATTTTTATAACTCCAACCTACTCCAACCTACAGAAATATGTTCTAATAACAGCAGAACCGAGCCACTAGATCTTGGCAAATAGCTAGAAGACGATAAATACAGCAATACAGTACAGCAACAGTGTAGATTTCAGATTTTTTTTTAATCTAGAAGATAAAGCATCTAAAAAAAATAGTATTTTATACAATATTATTTAATAGTACCTAACATTTGACCAGAAGCTAACAGATTTGGGATTTTTATCTTGGCAAAGTATACTATTTCAAAATATTTTTAAATAACACAACGTGTTAATTTAGATGCACGTGCCTGAATTTGGAGGCACGGTTGGTTTCTTCATAAGAACAGGAAAACTTAAGAAAAAATGAAGCAAAATACACACCGCCTTTCTCACACTAGGTTAAAAGGACCAGTTTATTTCTAAAACTATATCTAACAGAATTCTGCTGGGGTAGTATCTCAGGTCTTTGCTTTTTTTACAAAGATATTTGCAGTGACAAATTGTGGTACAATATATATGATTATTTTATGAAACAGAAGCCAGTCCCTAGCAGAACAAAGCAAAGATCTCCATATGCTTTCAACTCACAGCCGCAACCTGAGCTCCTGGAGTGGTTCCTCCGCTGAACATAATTTTATCACAAGCCAGTTGTCTTTGGTACCAGCACATTAGGTAGCAGGCTTTTCTTTAGGGAAGATCATCTCTTACAAAACAAAATGGTGCGTTTCATATTGCATATGTGATCGAACTGCAGTATACATTTTATCACAATTTTTTTCCTCCCACTGATACGTTTTACTTAAGTCTTTTTATTTTTTTAAACCGCCACCATAAGCATCATCATGAAAATCTTCAGTAAAATTAGCAGCGGTACAGGTTGCCTGGAAAAGAAATCACTTATATTTCTGTGTAAGCTTTGAAAATTGCAGAGTTCATAAATCCTTTTGATAACTTCTGAATTTACTAAGACTAGATCAGACAGCCTATTTTACAGAAAGACTATTTTATAGCCTCAGGATGAAAAATCAAAGAATACCTTCTTAATAGACATAATGGGGAAAAATAGCACCGGTCAAACACAAGCAAGGGACATAACTGAAAGCAAGCCTTGCATCCAGGTCTGGCTGCAGCAGTCAGCCCACACGCTGCATTTTAAGAATCTGTCCACAGCTGGAGCTTTACCAAAATAGCTCCTCCAAAATGATCCTTCCAGAATTACTGTGAGGTAGCTGAAGAGCAACACCTAACAGCTTAAGGACAGCAGTCACTAACATGACTGAAAGCAATTGTTTGACTCGGCCCTAAACACACATATGTTCAACAGCTATTTATTTTCTTTTTGTTCTTCATTATTATGTACTTCTACTGATTTACGCGAACTAAAGAAAAACTCAGCACGTAACTGCTACTGCTTAAAAAAATGTTTTGTTCCTTCTCACCTGTTGGCGATACATAGAAAATTTACTGTCAATTGGCTCATACTTCATCATTCTCTTCTCAATAAGCTGATTCATTTGTGCATTTACTTCATTTATCTGTAAGACAGAGTAGAAAACTGAGGAAATGGAGTTTTATTTCTTTGTCTTCTCCAAGAATTAAATGCTTTGCAAACTAGATTTACAATCCAGCTAGTTCCATTTTTAAAACAGAGAAAACAAACCCAAAAAACTCAATGAGTCATTAAGTATTGGCCAGGAAGGGGCTATGGTTTTGGATTTCCAGTTCTGTGCCTTTATGATAAGGCAGAAGCATGACGTTGGCCCTGAAAATGAAGTAAACTGGTGTACATGGAAAGAAAATTAATGTGAATTGGTACAGACAGAAAAAAGACTGATGTTGTAACATACTATGTGAAAAACGTAATTTTATCGATATTAATAAAATTTCTTTTCACTCAATCATTTATCAGAAGTTTAAAGGGGAGCAAATAAAAACTAAGTGATATCAAATTTCATCAATACTTTGAAGAGTCACAGACCATGATATTCCAGCTCTACGGTACCTTTTTTCCACTGCTGCAAAATGTACGTGTTTGTCCAGAGTCTCAAATTGTTGATCTTCGTTCTAGCTGAAACTTTAGAGCCTACTGCATCTGGAAACTCATAGCTACACCAGTGTACTGATTCCAGCTTTTCCAGTCCTGACTTAATGCTACACTGGGATTCTCATCAACCATGGAAACCACAGCCCTAGCAACCTTCCTTTAATTCTCTGCTAACTAGATGAGTGCTGATAAGCCAGCAGTGTAAATATGTGCTGAAATCCAGTGAAGTCAAAACGTAACGCAGGTACAGCGTTGGGCATTACCCTAAGATTTCCATGAGCAATATCCGTGTACTTTGAAAGCAAAGGATTTCAAATAAAGTGCTCCACAGGACTAAAAATACTCAAACACCTGAAAAAAATATAAATTCTATTCCTTTATAAAAGCTATTAGTGGTAGAACAGGCCTGAATTCGAAGATGGCACAGAGATTCCCTTCTGTGAATAAATTCCTGGTTTATACGTTATAAAATGCACGACAGTATCACGCTTAGTGCAATTCAGCTCCTTTTTAAGGCATTGAGATAATACAAGGCTGACTTTAAAAAAATAAGTTGTCTAAGGCCATGCTGTGATAACAGCCAAGTATATCTGAGAGTTTGCATTTAGTGATTAAACATCTCTTCTTTTACAACTGAAGGGATGGTCCTTTGGGAATGAAAGATTTTCTCAAGGATATAAAGTAGGGATAAGAAAACTACAGTGTACAACAACCTCAGACTATGCTACAGAACACAAATTTAGTGTGACCTTGGTCAACTTACCTTGATTTCAAGTACACTGAGATCAGATTGACTCATAGCTGGCTCTGCAACCACCTTTTGTAAGAAATACGCTGAATTCTTCTTACTTTCAAGCTCTCTAGGTATTTTTTCAGTAACCAGGTATGAATTGAAATTTATCTCCTCTTCCAGTTTCTTCATTAAGCCTTAAAAACAAATTAAATCACTGTGTGTCTATAAAAGTAATGTGGCGGATAATTAAGTTTGATTTCACCAACACATTAAAGTATTCAGCAGCAGATTACAATTACAACAGCGTAACATTTGAGTCTTCAACGCTCAAAGAAACAGGTAGTTGCTTGACTCAGATTTTTAATCTGGATGTTGAACAACATAATATGTATTATTATCCATCTGTAGCTCTAACATGTAACTATTAACTCCTTGACAGATTCTTTTCATCAATAAACAAGTAAAACCCTTCTTACATGAAACTCTAGCTGAATCAGATGCAAAATCCAACATGCAGCATTGATATCAAAAGCCATTAACCCCATGTGTATCTTCCACACATCAAGATATTGGATTCTATGTTACTTTTTGTTGTTCTTGTTGTGAATTATATTCTTTTTAAGTTTTAAAAGTTGAGAGCTAGACTTTGGTGCTTATGCACACACAAGGTGAGGGGCAGCAGAGCTTGTCATAGCTATGCTGACTTGGTCAGAGCTTTTTCGAAGCTTGTAATCACTTGGAACTGTCCTGGCTGGAGCAGTGGAGCAAGCATCCTGAAGTTGGTCTAACCCACAGAGTGCGTAGGTCATTGTTTTGTGTGAATTACTTCATCTACAAATTATCTCAGCGTGAATCCTTTATCTGTACAAAGATCTTAATTTGGCCTACCTCATGTACAGATTTTTTGTATCCTTCAAAATTCTACCTTAAAAGAAGACTTTATTCTAAACTGGCATCTAAAAAGCCCTTAAAATGAGCAGAACTGAATGTATGCCTACTTTAAGGGTCTTTTATACTGCTGGAACACTTACAAATTGCCTCTCCGTAAAAAGCAGATGATTTTTTCTTGTAAGAACAAGCGTTTAATCTCAGGACAGTATATGGACTGAGAATGCTGAAAATAATAATAGAAAAAACAAGAAGGAATTGCTAGGTAACGTCCAAAATTCCATTGAGTAAAGCAACCACATTTATACATTTTGCTCTACACAAGCCTGATGCACACTGCACGTTACCGTGCTTATGATGACTTGGCTCTGGCAAGGTAATTTAACCTCCTTAACAGATAATTTATAAATAAATACAGGTACATTCAGATAAGAACTATATACAGCTAGAAAAATGTGGCAGAATAAAATAAAGCAGCTATTTAAATTACACATTCTTCTGCTGACAACAGGCAGTTTAGTGCAATTACTCCTCCGAGACACCTGTGCCAAGGCCTACGGTAAGATTTGGAAATTATATGTCAGATGAGAGTGGGAATAGGTATTTCAGAATATTTTTCATTATCTAGATGACTAAAAGGTAAGTAGGAACTTTTTAAAACTACTGGCTGGAGGTTTGTTTTTGGTTTTTTTGTTTTGTTTTTTTGGGGGGGGGTGTCTCTCCATATTTGGGAGAATATGGAATTACCATGAAATGACAAGAAAAACAAGACATTCACAATCTCCGTCTCTTCCATATACTGCACAAGCAGAGAAAAGCTTGAGTACAGAGATACAATAATACTGTTGACGTTGCTGAAACAGAGATGGGAAAGGATGTAGGTGAAAGCAGAGTTTTTGGCTCTCAGGCTAAAAAGCCTGCTGACCATATCACTGACTGACAAAAGGAGGTCACAACAAAGTGAAATACAAGCCTAGGAAAGGGTCCCCCATTATTCTGCCGCTATTTACCTCTGGAAACACCGTACTGATAGATCCTCCTCACCCTCTGCTCCCAGCTCAGACTGAAAGGAAAGCTGGTTTAGCTGCCAGAGAGGAAATAAGCCATTAGCTCTTGAGAAAGCCTCAAGAACTAGCAGAAAGAAAACAGACCCTAGGGAAAGCAGCGTTGCTAACAAAATCAACACAAACTAAAAATGAGTGGGAATTCCTCTTTTCCAGCAGTTTAGTTTGTTGATTTCTGTGTTTATGAGAAGCAACACTACCACATGAACTTTTCCCCCTTTGTGGTGAGGTCATTTATCTTGTGCAAAATGAACTGCCTCAATACTGGTTTCAGAATGGTAAGCGGAGTTACTCTATGTATGCAACAGCCATTATGTACTTGGCACTACAGCTATACCTTGAGAAACACACTTGAACCTACTCAATTCCCACTTCTTTCTTCCAGAAGAACTCTATTCCAGTCTTCCTCAGCCCACGACAGAGCTGGGCAGGAGGGATTGCATTTTAATGTCTCACTAGAAATCTACCACCTCTGCAAATGCAGCAAAGCTTCCCACGTACACTGTGAGCTGAATTATCACCTCAGAACTGACTAGGAACACAACTCCCAATTTGATATTTATAACCAAGATCTTTGGTGTGGAAATCAAAGGGATATCAATTAAAGTATTCTGATACTAAATACTAATATTTTAATTTAATCAAACAAGTTTCTTGTTTTCCTCTTAGCAGCAAAAACAATCTGCATATATAGCCTATACTTTATTTCTTGTACTGCTCCAGTTTTCTTATAAAAAAATGTATATGCCTAAATAATTTGTTGTAGAAATGACACTAAACTCAGGAAATAACCATGCCTAGACAATTGCTTTCATAAGAGCGGGGACCTATTGACTTCACAGGGTATATAACCTTGACCACTATCTAGATTTAGTTCTCAATAACCTCAGAGCTACTATCAACTTCTTTTAAACACTGACTGGTTCTGCATCATGCTTACTCTTCACAGTGCAAGAAGCAATGAAACGAGTTAAAACTTCACATCTGGATGAGGAAAGACATGATGATGTCAACATCCCTCATGACTAATGTAGTTTTTTCCCTAAATATATTGGATATATTTTTCCTCTGATACGATTCAACATATGGAGAAGTATGGAAGAGCAATTTTTGCTGCTTGACAGAACCTTAAAAAACAAAACATAGGGCAGCTCTTGTTTTAATTTTTTTTTTCAGTGTAAAACATTCTTTTTTCAAATTCCCAGGCTAGAGGAAAGAAAAGCAAGCATACTTTAAATCTTTCCATTACACATGTAAATTCTGTTTTTAATGTTTTAGCATTGACTTATGGTTACAAAATCTACATACGTAAGCTGCCCAGAGAGTCTGGCTCTGTGCCCTAAGGTTATTTTAGCAAGGTTCTGCCAACCACGTATTTACATGTGGAGAGCTATTAACAGCAACTCATGTTTTCCATTCAAATTTTTTTTATTATTTTTATTACAAAGAGAGGGATGGGAGAAAGAATTTCTTAGTGCTTGCTCAGTCACGCAGAAAAGAGGCAAGTTTCTCTGCATAATTCTGCTAATGGATCTAAAACTTGATTCACCTTGCGCTCAGATTCCTACTAGTTTTCCTACTTCTTTTCCCTCTACAGGCTATCAATTGTGCATCCTATACCAAAATCATTTGCAACACTGATTTTCTAAAAAAGAGGAAGAAGAAAAAAGAAAAAAAGAGGAGCACTCATTTTATAGACTATCTGCAAACTCTTCCTTTAATATCACAGAGGAAGGCCACGACAAAAGCACATCTCGAACAGACTTCCACACGGCATTCACTTGTATCAAAGCCCTTGCTTCCCTTTCTGCAGTCATCCTCAGTAAGTACTGAGCACTGAAATGACTCCATTCACAGCTTCCAATGACATCACTTCCAATTTCCCTGTATTAAACAGAGGCCTGGGACACGCAAACACTGACAGATTATGATCAAATCATTCTTTAGATAGTTCCTTCAAAAATGAAAAAGCTTCCTGAATTTGCCACTGTTATGCTTTCCATGTTTATAATTATTATTGATGCTCTTTGAAATCTCTCTGACCTTTCAACATCCTTCTTGAATTCTGGTAAATGGACTCAAGTGTTGCAGTGATGGATGTATCAGAGTTACAATGTAAGGTAATACAACTCTCTTACTCCATTTTCTTCCGTAAATAAATGCTTGGATAGCACCAAATCTTTGACACTGGGAGGTCCAGTTCTACCATTGTTACACCATGACCCACAAGTCCTTTTCAGAGTCACAAGTCCCACGTGCTATAACTACATTGCATATCTAGAGGAATACTGTGGCATTTTGCTCTTCCTTAAAATACATACTCTTGGCATGGGCTTGGCTTCCTAAGTGATTAAGGTCACTGCAAATCAACAACCTGCTCTCCTCATTATTCAGGCATTTCCCAAATTTTTATTTCACCTGACAATTTCACCAGTGATCATTTACTGTTTTCTTTCAGGTATCTGATGTAAATACTAGACAAAAGAGAACCAAACATTGGTTTCTGCGTGTCCCGATTAGAAACACATCCACTCAGTGATGACTCCCCAATTCATTTACTTTCTACAACTTTCAGTAAACTCCTTTTAATCCTTTTAACTGAGATCATGCAGACTTTTTGCTGCCTTGTTTGTTCTTCAAAATGGGGTAAAGGTTAAGAGTCAATGGTCTTAAAAAAGTCAACCATAGCAATACTATTAATCTTACCAACCAGACTTCTATTCTCATCAAAGACACCAAGTTAGCTTAAAAGTGCTTTACCCGTGACCTTGCATCAACTGAGATTAAATATAATCATTTAAAGATGGAAAAAAAGTTACACCTAAGCCATTCTCCTTTACCAAATATATCTATAACTTTAATTGTAATGTGGTCTTCAGTACTGGTGGAGATCATTTAAACTTGGAATTTTTGGAAAAGATAGTTCTATGGAAATAAAAATGTTAATGTTTTCATTCAAATGGAATATTTAAATAATAGCATCCTAAATTTCTATTTTTCATCAAGTGTTCAGAATGACATAAAATAGGTATCTGTACAAAGCAATTCCACTTTGACCAGTATCTTTGAAGTTCTCAGTGCTCTAAATCTATTACTACATATTAACTTAATGAAATATATAAATTACACATTTCACTGTTTACCAACAACAATCACCTTAACACATTCTTTTAATCAATATTTTCATGCTAGTCATCCACTTCTTCATATTTCTGCCAATAAAGTGAACAATAATGTTCCGAAAATGGACAGAGATCAAGAATTTCAGTAACTCAGTTCACTTCTTGGCATTAAAAATTTGTGTTAGTGCCAGCAGATATTCAAAGCAAAAAGATGGCAATCTTGCAGAGAAAGCATGAGCCAGGTTATTCAAACTAGTGGTCAGTGTTAATAAAAATACTATTCATATCCAGAACAACAACATCAACACAAAAAAACCCAGAAACTGCAAAATTCATGATACTTAGTGCTACCAGCAGCAACTGCCTCTCTGTAGTTAAACAGCATACTGTTTATTATTATACACTGTTTATTATTATACATACACATATACACTGTTTATTATTATACATAATAAGTTTATAATAAACAGGGAAGGAGTGTACTGCGGAAACCAGTATGATCAATTTGAGTCTACAAAACATCTCATAAAAATCAATTGTTTTTCATGAGACAATACAAAGTCTTCTAAATATTGTATTTCTAAGAGTTAAAAATCTACTAACCATAAGCTGTATTCTCCTGGCACAGCTAAAGCAGACTGATGCTACTTGCATGCTAATGACACTCATGAATACGTACTAGTTGCATTCCTTAAAGAGTTCCTTTACATTTCTTTAAAGTACTTCATCCTAAATTAATTATAAGATGAAGTAATGAAAGCAACATGCATCTGTAAGACAAACAAAAAGCTGCCACTCATTAACAACAACTTGTTTCATTTTATCTTGCTTTGGAAGTAAAACCACCTGAAGTATTAAAAATGGAAGAAAATTCTCGTAAAGGAAAGTATCTAACTTCCAGTGAAAATCCACACCTACCAACCAGTAGTTGAATTGTCAGCATACAAGCTATATTGATACGAGCAGGCAGCTGAGGTACCAAACTGCAGCTAATGGGAATTTTTAAAATAAAATAAATTGTGCTAACTGCAGACCAACAAAGCTTTTAAAATAAATGTAATCCTATTCAGTGCACTGTGGTGACCTAATTTCAATTATTTAAAAAACATATTTGGCGTTCTGTAATTGCTACTACAGGCAGTGTCTTTGTAACTACTATGGGGAAAAAGCAATTACAAAGCTAAGTCTTGAAGTCTTTGTTTGGGCAAAATTTCAACACAAGTTTTCTTACGTAATGACTGCAAGTTTTCTTCAGAACATCTAAACACGTTTTTTTTCCGCTACGAGCAGGACTCAAGATAAGGAAATTAAATATGTTAACTTTATCTTTATTTTCATCTCAATGATTAAATGACATATTTACTGGCTTTTTATTATGTTGCCTTTGCTTCTGTGAACTGAACCCATTAAGTTTCCATTGGCCTTAAAAAAAACCCAGGAACTGAAATAGAAATGTTGACACAGCTTTGCTGTATAAACTCCCTGATAGCTACTGCAAAAATGGAACAGTTACAAAATCCACTGCAGGTCCCTTTGAGTATAGAAGATAGTTCAGATACTCTTTTAGTTCCATTTGTGGTTCAGTGGCTGACGAGCATCATAAAAAAATTAAAGTAAAATTGCGAAGTAAGAACAACACAATGTGGTGGTGACTGAAAAAAATTCTCTAACTCAAAACAGCTGCCAAAGCAGTTATGTCATGCAACTGGAATATTAAATGTACTTGAAAGAGTAGGACAATTTAAACTTAGTTACTTTACTAAGTTTAAATCGATAAATAGTCAGATTCTATCATTTTAGAAGTAATTTATACATATAATAAAATTCATTCTACGGCATTTTTTTTACCACAGCAACTTCGAATGCAACTGGAAAAGCCCTGTGAAAAGGACTATTCTGAGTCTTACACCTTCATGCTATCTCACATACAGTAAAGTATTTCCCTATAAATCAACCCCAATGCCTGTATGAACAGCACATAAAACCTCTATCAATCCTGTGATGTGTTATTAATAACCAAGTGCAAGAAACAAACTGAAAGGGATTAAGTGATTTGCCAAAGCTCATATACATTTGAAACACTGAGCCCTAAACTGGCTCCCAGTTTTGCTGTCAAACTGCCAGGCTAATCCTTGTTACATTTCCTTCACAGTGATTAAATCATCAGAAACCTAGAGGTTGTCAAATTGTAGCCTTTGGAGACAGTTAGTTAAGCATTTATCTAATAACTGCAATTCCTTCCCACCTGCTATTTTTAGAAATGCTTATAGAGTACCAACTTACTCCATAAGTAGTATAATTTATTTCGCTGAGGTTATTGGCAGACTAAGATATCACTGAAAATGAGAAGCAATCTTGCTATTATTAATATCATACAGCAAGATACAACTCAATCAGCTAGTCATATAATGAGAACAAAGTATTTTATATGTAAACAAATATATTAATATATAAATATATAGGCTTTAATATATAGATAGATCTAGTGTATATACTTATAGTCTTATATAAGTGTCTGTGTGTGTGTATATATAACTCATGATCTAGGAAAAAAAGTTTAATTAGGAAGTAGCTTTATTTTTGGCACCATACAAAACTACAACACAAAATTGCACTACGGTAAGATACAGGCCTTAAAACTTTTAAAATATTTTATAGAAGGTAACTAGAAAACCACATCTACACTGAATAAAACACAGTATTCAATGTATTTGTACATTCATTAAGAAAATTTAAGAAGCAGTATTTCACCAATGCCCACCAATTACAAACAGAAAAGACAAAATTCTGATTTAGTAAGAGGTTTCCGCTTTTTCCAACCCTTTGTAGTTCCAACTGCTTTTTTTCTTGTAGAGTATTATGGTTAGTATTCAGTATTAACTGTTTTAAGATCTTTTAAAACGCGAACCTCAAAAATATGACTGATATCATCTCCCTTGTGATTGTCTCCCTGGTTTTTTGTGGCAAGGCACATTCAGCCTTAGGATCTCCAGCACGTACCTTTAGAACATATTCTTCCTTTAGATTCTCTTAAGTTCCTACACGCTTTTTGGCACTACCATATTACTGACAGCCATCCGGTTTTGATTTAATTTCTAACACAAGTGTAAACCCCAAGCCTTTATAGATTACTACTTACTTTCAGGTTTTGAATCCACTACTGCATGATGCATCTCCTTCAGCTGGAGCTGTGCTCTTCGCAGCCTCTGCTCCGCGTGGAACAACTTTTGAGAGAGAATTGGAAACACATAAGCTCATTCCTTTGAAATGCATATTCAATCAACTAAAACAAGAGAGTATCAAAAAGAACCCCAAATACAAATAATGGGAGCTATAAGCATCTGGTGATTATCTGTTTCACAAGGAAATGTGCCAAAACAAATTTTCAACAATTGGCCTGGGCTTACTTGGTATTCTTTAGTGGTAATTGAGGGAAGTATTCTTGTACTCCCAAGTGATATTTTCTCTATGGCAGAAATTCATTAAACAATTTTCAACTAAAAATATGGGTGGCTTGAACATTAGAACAGAAAAAAAAAAGACAGCAAGAATCAGGATTGCAGCAGATAACTATCCTTATACTGCAGCTCTTGCAATGCAACTGAGTTGTCACAGCAGTTCACTGTCCAACTTGTGAGCACACTGGAAAGCCTGCTGCCAAACAATACCCAGTTGATTAGGATTTTTGTGATTTAGAGAGAGATGTGTACGAAAAACTGGAATTAGCTGGATATCACATTTGTTTTACTTGTGATCTCACTCAGGTTCAAGCAAAGACCCAACAGCTTGAAAGCCTACTGATTCCCACTGATTCCACATCCAGATATAGATGGCACTACTACAAATCTGGGGGGTTTTCCCCATTTAATACAGTGTTGAAGTTCATGCCACAGAATTTGGTGAGAGGATATAACAATATAGCACTGGATTTTATTAAAGTATCTTGCTTTGACAACATAGCTCAGGAATAAAACCCACCCTTACATTCAGATGTCAACTGCTTCCAGTGCTTCTCAGGACATCATTTTTGCCCAACTCGAGGACAAAAATCCCAAGGTTGCTCCTGAATCCATATTGTCGCGACCCAGCAAAAAGCTGAGGTACTTTCTGTGTTAAGATTTCAGCCCCTGAAATCTTACTGCAGATGCAGAGAGATACAAATCAAACTAAGGAAACATTTGCTCACTACCGTAAATATAAAGAATTCTCTTCGGGTGCTACAACAATAAGTCATGGAACATTTCCTGGGACTGCTAAATGATGATGTCAGTGGCAGCTGAGGCAGCCAAGTACCTTGAATGAGGTGTTCAAAACTTGCAGGGCCAAGCCTCCTCCCTTAAAATGTACATAGATATTTCAAATGGGTTTTAATTTTCTGGTGTTGGGAGAAACTCTGTACTGTTGTCCCTGATGTACTCCTGATTGATTCCCAATCAAATGTCAACAACTATTTATTTTAATAGGTATGTTTTTATGTCAGTACCTGATTTTTTTGTTCTTGTTTCTGTTGAGACAAAGATTCTTCTCTCTCTTTTTCTAAGCGAAGCTGTCTTGCTATTTCAAGCATTCGTTGATGATTTTGTACTGTCTCCACCTACAGCAAGTGGATAAATAGTGCATGTTACTGTCAGATAGTTGAGAAATAAATTAAAGAGATTATATGTCTCACAAGCCCACTTAGCACTTCCTTTCCATACATGTTACTACTCAGAAATGACAGCAAAGTACTGGACTCAAGATTCTTAAAAGCTCTGGACTAGCGCCTAGGGAGATTCCGTGTGGGTCAATTAGTTATTCGATTCCTTCCTAGACATACAGTATGTTTATCTTAATCCTTGTTTGCATTCCAAAATCAGAGTTGCAAGCCAAGGATTATGACACTGAAGTAACTGCGTTACTTCTCTTATTACCCTCTTCTTAAGACGCTCTACTCTTTTGATGAGTTGATCTTTCTCCTCTTCCATTGCACTGATGTCCTAAAAAGCAGAAAAGGTAGATAAAGAAATGTTAATTTACTTACAATATAATGTGGATTGTACTGAATTCTGATCAGATTAATATGAAATCAGAATTCTCTGAATACCCTGAAGCGGTTATAATTTTATTGATCTATGATCAGAACATCCAGGATTTCAATCTCTCTTTTCTCTCTTACTTCCCCCACAGTTCCCACTCTTTATGCTAACATTTCTTCATCTGCATCCTTGAATATCAGTGTAAACATTTAAGATAAAAGCAGGTGGATTTCTCTAGAATAAAAAGAAACAAACAGAAACAACCAAGCAAAAATCAGCATGGATTCAACATCTGATGCAGTCAAACGTGTTCTTAATGTTACCATCATTACCCACTTCCTGGCAGACAATTTTGCATGAAGTTGCATACAAGTGATGTTTGCTGCCACTTTTTGTATTAAAATTGTGTTAAAAGAAACACTTTCTAGTACTAAAACATGTATCTGATTATTATTCTCCTTTAATCCTATCTTACAACAGCAGTATTCCAGAGGTTGATAGTTATGAGAAAGGGAAATAAATTCTCCAAATTTAGGCCTTATCTCAACATTTGCTTAACTTGTCCATATGTCTTACTGGAAAGCTGTACCCGTGCTTAAATATTTTGCTGAAACAGAGCAAATACCTTTACTTAACACCTTGGCCACACAGGATCATCATTTTTGTTGACTTAAGCTCTTAATTCATTCAAAATTCTCTGAAATCATTACCTGATATCAGTAAAGCAACAGGCTTTGTATCAGTTTGCATTCACAGGAAAAGGAGTTGTAATATTTGCAAATCATGCTGAACAGAGTCTTGGCAGCCTTGTTTCCCAATCTGCTTCAGAAAGCTCAGCTCTAGGCACGAGCGAGGACTTTCTAATCTGTTTGCCAACAGAGACCAGTTTCAAAAAGGCAGTTGCAGTGCCTACCAGCTCTGACCTCTACAACTTACACACTACAAGTCCACAAAACCAATAAAAATAGAACTGACATTCAAAAAAAATCTAAACAAATGTTGTGCAATTTTGTCAGATTTTTTTACCCTTCTTATTTCTGCAGTAGATAAACCAGATGTTTTGAGCTGCTCACACTCCTTATGTAGGTTTTTAAATGCTTCCATCAGTTCTTCATACTACAAAATGAAATAAAAACCATGCAGAATGAGCGCTGTGTCTAAGGATTTTCAGATCAACATGTAGCTTTATACGACAGTAAATACAGAAATATGGCAAGAACAGGAATTAAAGGCATCTTTTCATCACAAAAGCTTGTCAATTTATAAAGCAAAAATAAAAAAATCACAGTGAATTATCTTCTATTTGAAGGTACACACAGAAGTTTCACAATTTCTTCAGTATTTTCACCTCTTCCCTTGTAATACGTAGTATATTTTCAAAACAGGAAGATAAGATGTTATCTGAAAGTGACAACGCTATATTAACAAATTATTCTCTCTTAGTATAAATCTGTGTATACCACACACGTAAATTTATCAGCCCAAAAAGGAAAAACTTGATCTAACAACATGCTTGATCAAAGCAATGGGGCTTGAATTTATAGAGCCCTGAGCTTCAATCCAGTAAAGGTCCAAGAGCACACCTGACTTAACATGTGAGAAATAGTTTTGACACATTGCATAATCATGCCCTCAGTATAATACAGAGATTGATATATGTAGTTCGGTAGTTAGAAAGCAGTAGACAGTGTGCTACTTCCACACTAGTACGTTGCCCACCAGTAATCTTAAACTGAGAGGCAGTGTGAAAGTCTGTGTGGGTAGAGAAATAACAGGGGACAGAAAGAGTTTAGAAATATGGATAGGAAATAAATTTAGATTCAACTTGGAGAAATGCAAGCTGAGATATAAGGAAAGATAATCTCCACAGAAACAGGCATTCAGTAAGATGGAAAAATCTAAGAAGAGAATATCAAGTCATTTTTTACTTCCTGGAGAGAGCAATTGATATGAATGTTGAACACAAAATGGCAACGGCAAAGGCCAGTTCAAACAAAGGCATCATATCCCTAAGCAGTGAAGCAGCAAGTCCATTCTATAAAACCCTGGTGAACCAGCATCTAGAATGCTCTGTTCATTTCTGGTTGTTTCAATACCAGGCACACACTGACAAGCTGGAATTAATTAAAAAAACACAAAAAACACCATAAAATGGCTACTGAGAAGAAGATAAAATAGTAAGTGACACACTCAAATGACGGAAGAACATCCAGGTTCCTGCAGTGGAAAGATTCCTGGCACCTGAGGGCACCTCACTGAAGATTGGACAACCAGTTTTATGCCTGGAGTTGCTTACTTTTTAAATTACACACTGAAGCCAATCTGATGTCCAAATCACAAAGCAGTTGGGAAGGTGGCAAGTATTCTGAGTATCTCGTTTCAATAATCTACAAAAGTACATTTGAGCTTGATTCTATACACCCATAAAACTTGACCATATTGGAAGATTTCCAAACGTTCATGTTTGCAAAGTTTCTCTTAAAATACACTATTGAGCTTGTCTAGCTAAATACTTCAGGCTAATTCTTTAATTAATTAATATATAAATATTTGCATGGTAATGTTAAATTACATTAAGGCACTATATTACCCCAACTTCTGTTTTGAATTAATCAGCAGGGCATTAGTTTAGTAAGGAGGTTTTATATTACTGTAAGCCTAAAAAGGAACACATCTTACGTAATGGAAATAATGGAGTTGGATATTTATACATACTAAGACTGTGACATACTGAAAAAACATAAAATCTGCATTCCTTTCTCTCTTTGCTGCTTCTGCTTAGTTATTCCAAGTTATAAATCCAATACTGGTAGTGGTAACAAAAAAATAAAAGGCTTAGTCAACCTTCAGTCAGATTATACAGCTTTGCTGGTGCACAGTGAATATATCAAGTTATCTGTTACAAATGTTCAAAACCACTGTGATTTTGCAAGTCACTATACATAACAAAAGGCACAGAAAACTGGATAAAAATTAGGTAAATATGTACCTCAGATAATATGGATCTAAAAACATAACTTTGGTTCACTATAAGCTTTACATTTCAAACCCACCCACTCTGACTATCTAAAAATCACCATTTAATGCTCACAAAAGAAGTGGGAACATAATGACTAGGAATGTCAGTCCAGGAAAAAGAATTTTTTTTACTTATTCACAAAAAAATAAATGGTTGAAGCAGAAGTAGGATAAGGCTAGTATAAATATTAGGAGCTAAATATTATACAATTAATTGACAATTAGGAGACTTGGTCATAACATTTTCTAGACTAGTCTGAAGTGGTAATATATCCATGTCATAGTTCATAGGGGAAAAAAAAGTGTTTACAAATTAAAAAATAAAAATGTGTCTTCGCCAACATGGCTCCGAACATTATTTAGTACCCAGTACTTAATGGGTTTAAAACCTTTTAATTCAATGCTACCTATTAATGTACAATTTCACGGTTATTGGAAGAAAGGCAGCAAAGACACGTATTTCTTACTACAAATCTTTGCTCACCCTTGATTCCAACATGCTCTTAACGTAACTCACTTGAACATGATTCATTTATCCCTCCTCCTATTGGCAGTTTAATTAATTAAATGTTGGCATTCATGAAAAATGGTACCTGTTTGTTGATGTCAGCCACAGTATCATCCTGTAGGAACTCTGCTGGCACTTCCAATTTTACTAAGAAACGTGACAGGTAAGCTCTTTTCTTGAGTTCATTGGTCCTCTGAAGAAGCCAATGTAAGACAGGATGAATTACAGTTTTGCTTCCAGAAACTAACCCTTGGCGAAATGCGCTCCTACATGAAAACAACAAAAGGAAAATACCAATAAATCTCAAACTAAAGAACACTGGCTTGGAACAAACAATTTGCAATATTTTGACATTCCCTCTTCACTTGCCTAATGATTTTCTTAATGCTGTTAAAAGAGAAAACACTCATGATGCCGGTTTGCTATTTATGATGCTGATTCTGTTACCTTGAGATCGATAAAAACCCCATAATACATCAAAAGGCTAAAGCCAGCAACAACAACTCTTCCTTTTCTGCGATATTCTTCGGGAATAAAGGCAATGTGGGAAGAGTGTGGGTTTTCTGGGTTATAACCTGGCGCAGGTGGGTGCAATCCAGCCTCGGGCGGCTGGTCTGAAAGGGCTGGGGAAGGGACTGACCCTGCCAGTCATGCGGCACCCTCTCCTGGCTGGCTCCGCAATAGCAGCTGCTGCAAGCAGGGCCCGAGGGGCAGCCTACACCTGCAGGAGCCTTCTGCCGGCATCCCCTATACCATGCTCTATAGGGACAAGGGAGGAGCTGTCTTCAAGGCGTTACACATACCCACCAGGACAGTGGAGGTCAAAAATACGCACAACTACTGAGTTAAAGGTCGTTACCGCATAAGCTGTAAAAGACGTTTTACCATGGTTTGTAGACAAAAAGATACTTACAAGTCTGATATACTTCCTGGAGGTTTGTATTTAAGAATACCAAGAAGACTCAACATTCTTTTAGCTGTTTGTTCCGGCAGCTCCTCTCTAATGTCAACAGCATGCTATATAGTTTAAAAAAAAAAATTCATTATCCACTGCTTGTCAAAGTCATGCTAATTAACTAACAACACTGAAAGAATTTACTTCATCCATTTATCACATGATAAGTCGAGGAAGTGAGATGCTCCATACAGAACACCCTTTTTATCACCAAACTTCAATTTTCTTTGAATGGATTTTTTTCCAACATGTGTGTTCAGATAAATTTATTCTAGATATACATTCTCCCAGCTCATGGAACCTCATCTATGCCCCAGATGTATGAACGATCTCTTCTGATCTTACACTTTTGGTAGCCTCAAAGGAGCGGGATTCATTATCTATTGCAAGAGCTAAATCATGAGGTTCTGTTCTGGATCAGTTCCTGCCCTCTGTACATGTGCAAGACAGGCTGATTTTTGACTTAAGAACACAGTGGTTGTCAGTATGAACCAAGTTAAGATCTGTATCCTGATTCCCAAGGAAAAATATACAGTCATCAGTCTCTGGGGGGCTGGGATCCAGTATCCCTGGCCCAAGAAACATTTCCTGGTTTGCCAAAAACACATAGATGTTTGCCAAACACACATAGACAGAAAGGATTCTTGCCAGGCATTTATTTCCAGGAAGATTCATACAAGCTATTTTGGTAAACCAAATATGCCACAAGATTATACAGAGCCAGACTGAAAGAAAAGCAAATTTCTGTGTCAAGCCCATTTAATATGTTCACAATTACACAGGTCTGAGCACCTCTGATTGCTTGCCTTACCTTTGGGTCAATCTCCCCCAGAACATCATTGAGCAGCTGCAACAGCTGCACTGACTCTAAGGAGTCAAACGTGATTAAATTGTAGTTCTTCCTGAAGGGCTCCTGATTGAGCTTCTCAACAATGAACTGGATTTGATCACTCATAATCGTGTCCTGGAAAAAACCTCTGCAGGAAAGACAGAAGAGACGTCACGAGGCCTCGGCAGGAAGAGGGACCTGGGGGCTGCCGGGAGGGCGGGCAAAGGCACCACCTCAGCGAGGCCCACGGCAGCGCAGAGGCGGTGAGCCAGCACCAAGCTCGGCGGGGCCCAGACCGGCCGCCCCCTCAGACCCGGG